AAAAAAAAATTACTATACCACATGAACAATATTCACGTATTATTGGACGAAGTGGTTCAAATTTAAATGTTTTACGTGAAGTAACTGGTGCATCGATTGATGTCGAAAATAAAAAAGCAATTGGTGATAAAACTATTTTAATTAAGTATGTTTATTTTAGTTATTATTGTTTAATACACAAAAAAACAAATTTTTTTTTGTTTTATAGAGGTAATGGTGATTCAATAAAACATGCTTATCAATTAATAATGGCATTGTTGAAAAATTCTGAATCTGAATTAATGAATTTATTACCATCAAGTAATGAAAATAAAACAAAATCAAGATCGACAACAATTACATCTAATAATGAACATAATAATGATGAAATAAATAAAGTACAAAGAACAAATAGTACAAATTATGGAACAAGAATACAAAATACTGGTAAAATAAATTTTTCTTAAAGAAAGAATTTATTAATTTATCAAGAATCTATATCACAAAGTCGAAATGAACTTTGCATAAAACTGAGACTATAAACAAATTTTTATGTCCCTGGAACTCAGAGTGGGAAGTTACGGTGTAGCAAAAAATTCGTGGATTTGATTCTTTCGTCAAAGAAAGGCTATTTTGGAAAAGCAATGATTTTTTTTTTGATAAAGTTTGATCATAGGCTTTCGGAGTCGAAGAATTCGAATCTGTAATCAGTTTTTTTAAAATTATGTACATGAGTTCGAGATTTTAGGAAATAGTGACGAGAAATATCAGCTTGTGTTTCCTAAAATCTCGATCTGATATAATATCTCTTAAATATTAAAACATTTCTATTTTCTAGAATCTTCCATATCAGATACTCATGTATCAATTCCATCATCTAAATCAACAACAAATAATACTCGTATATCGAATTTATCAACTAAAAAAAGTACAACAACAAATTCTTCAAATATATCCAATCGTTCAACATCATCATCAACAAATAAAAATTCTCAACCATTAACAACTACTGGTGCAACATGGGTTAATTCAAATCGATCAAATCGTAGTACAACATCATCTATAACAACAAATTCTACATCATCAAATTCAACAACAGTATGGAATCATCAACAATTATCATCAAAATCATCTTCAAATCATAATAAATCATCTAATAATACAAATCATTATTCAACAAATCAAACAAATACTTCATCATCATATCATTATTCATATTCAAATGTCAATAATTCAATAAATAATCATAATCATTATGGACATTTATCAAATAAACAAACATCATCATTATCATCTAATAAACATTATTCAACAAATTATTATCAAAAAGGTGAACATTCAACACCATCCGAAACAACAACAACAACAACAACAACAGTCCATTCATCACCAAATTCAATTGTTCCATCTCAACCAGGCCATCGAATTCCAGTACAACCACCTCCAATATCTTCTACAGTATCAACTATTTCATCGACATCATCGTCATCTGAATCTATTTCATCATCAACAACGCCGTCATCATCTACTTTACTTGCTGCTTCATCAACAACACCAACTCCAACTAATGTAACAACAGCTGGTGAATATAATCCATTTGCATCAAATATTCTTACAACATCAATTGTTGATGTTTTAACGAAACCTAAAGAATCAGTAACATCTATTGATGAAACAAATTCTAATTCAACAACAAAAATGAATTTTGCTAATGTTGCAAAAATGAATGTACCAACAAAATCATCACATCATGAATCAATTGTTATAACAATGGATGAATCATTATCACCACCACCAGATCCTAAAATTGCTCCTGGTTATCGTGGACCATCAAGTACCGGTACAACACCTATACATCAACATCAACATCAACATCAACATCAACATCAACATCATCAACAACAACAACAACAACAAATAATTCGTACAACAAATTTTAATTCTATTTCACCAACAACACAATTAATGCGTGCACCAGGTGCTAATAGAAATCAACAATCAATATCACCATCAATGAATAAAATAGTTCTTGATCAAAATGGTCAAACAGGTTCATCAACAACATCATCAACATCATCATCACCATCATCAATTAAACAACAAACAAATCAATTTATTCAACCACAACAATTATTTAATTCATTAGATCAACAACAACAACAACAACCATTTGGACCTATTGGATCACATCGTACACAAATATCAACAACAGCTGATGTTACATTTAATGAAAATCCACTTCAAATGAGAACTAAATTTAATCGAACATTATCAGCTAATAATACTCCTATGTACCAACAAGTACCACCAACACCACCAATGCTTAATAATCCAGCTTATGCTAATATGTCACGTAGTAGATCGAATCTCAATCCAACTGCACCAGAATTTCAACACTGTAATCGTTTACCACCACCATTTATGCCACCACCACCACCACAAGCACCCATGTCAAATGGACCATTATCAGCAAATATCATGAATATTGCTCGTATGATGGAACAAAAACAACAACAACAACAACAACAACAGCAACAACAATTATATACAAATAATACAAATCCTTCCATACATCCACCACCACCACCACCACCACCGCCACAAGTTTTACCACCTATACGTCCACTTCAACAAGCTGATATGGAGGCAATGCAACAACATGTACAAAATCAAGTTTTACATTTTTGGCGTTTACATGCCAATCAACAACATCTTATACCACCACCACCACAATTACCAACAACATTACAAATAGCTAATATATTAGCATCTAAAGGACAATTACCACAAGATCCAAATCAAGCTGCAGCACTTGTTGCTGCTTATTATTATACAAATTTTCTAACACGAACACAACAATCACAACCGCCAACAACAAATACAATTCCATTATCGTCTAATGTAAATAAAAATGTCTATGAGACGATTAATATACAACAACCAACTACTTCAAACAGTGATGATATACCATTAACTGCAGGTAATTTTAATCGAAGAAAAAATAATAATAATAAAATTTAAAAAAATGATCAATATTTCGAGACTGCTTTAATCATATTATTGCAATTTCACTCATTGAATTATTCTTTGTTTTTTTTTTAAATAACTAGTTGATCCAATAAATGGACCAGTTCAAGCACAAGTGATTGTCGATTCGAATGTTATCATTGCTAATAGTAATCATTCAAGTGGTTCTTCTTCATCATCATCATCTACAAGTACTAGTGGTGATCACAAAATGGTACCAGCTGCAATTGGTAGCGAACGTAAACGTCATCTACCTATGCCAACGACTGTTGGTTCGATGCCAATTGGTAGTACTGGTGATTGGTCTTCCGTTTCAAAACGTACGATTTTTTCTTTTTTATTAATTTTTTATTTTTGGGAACCATCTCTTCTTTTAGAACCATATCCAATAGATCCATATCTATCACAGCAGCAGCAGCAGCAGCAGCAGCAGCAGCAGCAGCAGCAAGCTTCACTATCATCCGAATATCAACAACAACAACCGATGCGTGACTATACACGTTAGAAAACAAAAGTGGAATAGTTCTATTCGATTGAAAACATAATGCATAGATTTTTGTCTCTTATTATTTAAAGATTTCGGTTTTTTTTTATTCATACACTCTTCATAATGGCGTGTGACACATTGTCTTGCTCTCTTGTATTGCTTGTGCGTGTGTGTTTTTTTTTCTCTTTCTCTATACATCAGTTTCGTTTGTTCTTCTCTAACCGATCGTATACTTTTTTTTTTCGTTTGCCCAATTTTACTAGCTCTTTATTCTCCAGACATTTTTCCCGATTGTTAAAAGCAATGGGATCGCGCATTCATCCCATGTGCCATTCTAATCAGCTCTCTTCGTGTTGAAGATGACGACGCAGCAACAAGTTTCTCTCGCGTTTTTTCTTTTTTTTGTGTCATCTCTTTTTTTTTCGATATACATACAAATACACATACAGGAAAACCAAAAAGAAAGGATTTAAATTTCTACAAGACTCAAATGTAGTAGACAAGAGAAATCTTTTTCTCTAGATGACTGATGGTTGTTTAAATTGTCGTTTACTTCTATCATTTATTTGTATATTAAATTTTCTTATATCAATAACACTTAAAATCAATCAAACATGGTTACATGTATCATGGTTTTTAATATTTATACCAATATGGATATTTAATTTAATATCATTATGTATAATTGGATATTTAATTTTAATAAAAAAATGGTTAGAAAAAAAAGAAAAATGTTTAAAAATAATTTATTATTTATTAAATTTATTATCATCATGTGCATTTGAAATATTATTATGTATTAAATTACAATATAGACAAGATATACCATATTGGATTGTATTTTTACCATTATGGATATTAATGTTTTTTATTTTTAGTATTATTATACAACAAATGTATAGAACATGTCAAACAACAACGGAAAAAACTATGTGAAAATTTTATTATAATTCAAGAGAATTTTTTTTCGTAAGAATTGAATCGATTTGAGAAATTACATTGAAAATTTTCTCGTTAAATGAAGAACAATTATTCATAATTGTATTGATATTGAATGGATCTTGCTACTAAAAAAACAACGATTGAATGAAACAGAAAACAAAACTTTGATATAATTGTATATTTGTTGTATTAATAAATATAATAAATACTATCGGTCAAATAGAAAATATGGATGCCAATGAACTTTTTAAGATGCAAAACATAGTATTTCTGTAGTCAGTCGCGTACGCATTCGGTCTTCATACTTTGTGTGTGTTTTACTGTAACAAAATCTGGAATTTTTACTGCTATGTTCTGAAGGACAGTGGAATCGCTAGAAATTCATTGGAATTATGCCAAGGACATTCATGTCTCGAGGTGATATAAACATTTTTGAATCTTCAATATGAATTTCCGCTCATCTCCACTAACTTCCGCAAAGCGACAATTTGACCTTCATCTTTTACCTGAGATAATTAACCAGACATACGAATTGAAATATATCATTTACTGCTGCAATGATCTCGGGAACGCAAAGTCAGAAAATACACGTAGATAGACGATCTACTACTGTCTTATTCACGCATCGCAGAAGCTAAAAGTCGTTTTAACAATATGGGTTGACAGAGAAACCATTTTTGTATGAAATGCTTATATTTGAAAACGAGATAGATTATATGTCTCGAGCTCTTTATACTTGATACGGTATAAAGAGCAGAAGTAAAGAAAGCTTATTACAGTTCCCACAACAGACGTACGTAGAACTACGATAAGCTTTTGACTTCTGCTATTCATAGTATAACAAAGGTATTGTATAAGAGTTTCCTACGGGAATAGATTCTCTAAAAATCTATACTGTTAAAAAGAATTTTTACCTCCTTCGAAACAACGTGAATACGACAGTATAAGAATCTTTCTCCATGATTGGTTTATACATAGGAGATAACGAAAACAATTTTCCAACATGAAATTTCTATTCAAATAGCATATCTAATGCAATATGTACTATTCTCGCTAATGATGTATTGAAAAATAGAATTAGTTAAACATAATAGGAATTATATAGAGCGCAAGTTGTTCTATTGAATCATGCAGTATAAAGAAAATTTCAATTTAGAACAAGTGCGCAATAGTTTGAAAAAATAAGTGGTTGAATACTTTTGAAAGATGAAAAGGGATATGCTGTGATTGTATCATCAATAAA